GAGCGTCCAACCTGCCATCTTCCACCACGGAAAGGCCGGCTACAAGAAAGGGGGCACACGTGAGAGACCCCGTGAGACCCACGAGGACGATATCCCCGGCCTTCAGGTCAGGACCTCGCCAAAAACGCCACGACCCCAATGCAGACGAGATCATCCGCTTTGTGCGGGAGTTCCAACGCGGCGACCTCCAGCACCAAGGCCCGGCTGGTCTCGCGCGGAAATCTGTCCTGCCTGCCATCGGGGGACATAACTCTAGCGATAGTTTCAGCGCGAGCTACAACATGAATGCGTCAACTGACGTCATCAACACCGACCCTAGCCCAACGGCAAGGGGGGCAAGCACCCACCCGCTATCAACCGTGGCGGATTCGGAAAATCCTAACAGATCCCCTGGGATGTCGGAGAATGAGGATTTCGTGAGACATTTCAAGCGTGCACAAGTTCACATCGGTGCGGATGTTCTAACCAACGAACAGCTGACCGGGCACAACAACGACGATTTGTTCCATTTCAATAGTAGTGGTATGGATCAAGGATTAGAAGCTGCAACATCATCGAATCTTAATTTGATGACAACAGACCAAGGGTTGGCGAACTCTGGGTGGCAACAATCTTTGAAATATGACGACAGTCTGCTGAACGGCAGCACCAGCCATGACATCAGCAAACCTGTCCAGACAACACCGAGGTTTTTGAACGGCGTTTCTAAAGCGGCTCAGCTCTTACGGCCTCGGGCTCTGCCACAGTTACCTCCCCTGATGCGCGGTGGCGCCCCGACAAGACCATCAGCCCCATCTCCGTCTCTGACGCCCCCTTCCCCAAGATCGATGGACAGTGGGGATGAGGGCAGTTTTGAGGAAGATTTAGATTTGGACGACAGAATGAATATTGAAAATAAAAACTTAGACTACGATGAAACTATTTAAATTATATACTTCTTTGAGTTTTTTCCGTAGTGTTGTTCTTCAATAGGGAAGAACAATACGTCAGCCAATGGCTACAGGCGGCCATCGAACACAAAAGTCTTGCTGTCTCTATTTTTTATTTCCACTCATCTATTCTGCAAACGATTCTTTATTTGAAGCTTTTCCACGCAATGTAGGCCACCATCTTCATAGCACACTCACAATTATTGCTATTCGCAAGAAAGAATTGGATTGTCATCACGATTGTATTCTGCCTGCATTTCGCTGCACCATCCACCAAGACGGTCCGTGGTCACGGCGTAATGAAAGCGCTGCATTGGATTATTTGATGAACATTGTGATTAAAATTGTCAATGATTATCTGAACTGCAGTAGCAGTTGTTCTCTCATTCATACAAGTTTGTGGAATCATTAAAAGAAGTTTAGGACTGGTGCAATTTTCCGATTTGAAAAATCTCCCATACCTTAAATGTGGTCATAATACCAGTACAATACCATGGTAAATCCAATCAGAAGTCTGTAGTTGAGATTTGAATTATTTGTGGCAATGCAGACATTTCTGTGGTTCGATGGCCACACGTGTGACAAAATGCCCTTACTCCTCACGAATCTTGATTCTCCAGGAGGACAAAATGTTTTGTTACTTAAACATTAGGACTTAGAAAACTAGGTATCACTGAAAATGCGACCTTCAGTTTGGTTTTATTTTAAAGTTGGCGTTTTTATTTTTTCAAGATTTTATGAAAATGCTGTTGGTTAGGTGTAAAAGAGTGAGCGTCAGAATGAAACAACTTAGTCCTAAACCAAGGGCCATAACTGTGGTTTTAGAACTTTAAACAAAAAGTAGGGAATTAATTTTTATTTTATTTTTTAGTTGGGGAAAAAGATGGGGGGGGGGGGGGGGTCACTGGCGGGGGATCCGTCAAGTTGGAAAACTCAATAATTCAAACTAGAACTTGATGAACTGTTGATTAAACTGCTACATTTTTAGGGGCACGTTTCTTTTAATGTAAAGAAGCCGCGTTCCCACCGTCATGTCCGATTTATTTGTTGCACTCACAGAATCAAGAGGACGAAAAAGTCATTACTTAAATAACTCATGACATGTTTTGTCATTCGATCTTGGTGTTGTAGGATTTTGATTATGATTTTTTTTTTTTTTTGGGTTAAAATCCTGCAACGCACAATTCCTCTCACATGTGTTGGAAGATGTTGATTTAAATGTACAACCTCACTCGTTCATGTTTAAATGTACATGCATGGTAAGCATTTATAAACTTCCTTTGTTAACGTAATATATTTTTGAGGTGATTCTTTCCAAATTCCTATTTCTACATATATTTGTATGGTTACATTTCCTAGCATCCCCCACCTCGTTTTAATATATATTTGTATGATGATTATATCCAGTGGCGTAGCTAGCATTAGTGCCACCTAGGGCGGGCCGAGCATTTTGCCGCCCCCCGTCCACGGAAAAAACTCTGCAGGTGCAGTTGGCCGAAAATGCCGCTGCGGGCGGACCATACTCCCTCTCTACGTCACTGATTATATCACCATGTTTTACACAAATGAGTATGATGATTATAATACCAGGTTTTACATATATATTGTACAATGGTTATTTCCAACTATCCTATGTTAATACATATATTTGTGTGATGATTGTTTTCAGACCTCCAAAATGAACATCTATTTGTATCAGGCTTATAATACGGGTATTATGGATACTTTGAACTACCATGCAAATGTTTTGGAAAATGTATTTCATGCATTAAAAGGAAATATAACCGTTTGACACTTACTCCATTTTGATTGTGATCTAGAGAGAAAAATGAGTTTTTGTATGTAAGCCCAAACGGGTAAAAATAAAGTATCGAGTGAAATGATTAGTAGAAAGTAAAGAGGATTTAGCTGAATCATTTGTATACTAGTAAATCGAATCTTGGTGAGAATATATGTGAAGTGACAATTCATTGGCCATTCATCCTAATATACCAAATTACTCTCATATCAATATATGAATATACCAATGTAATAATATATATACTAATATACCAATCCACCCCTCCTACAGTAGCAAGCTAGAATAGGTGTTCAAAAACACTATAACACAAATAAATAAAAAACTCAACAAACTGACAATACACTAACAAGAAATAAAAACAAACTCAAATGACACATCAAATCATGGGTGTAGAATAGTCAACTTTTTTCCCCACCGCCCCATTTCCATGACAAAACCTGTACGCAGTTGGCCTGAAATAAGTCCCATTTATTTAAAGCAAAGAAGTGCCGTCCTGTACTCTTCTTCCTACGCATATGAAATATGTTATAAAATGTACTATTGGAACTATTTCTTAATGTGGCAGGTAATTTAAAAACAATTTATGAAGGTGATCGACAAATGAGTTTATTGTGACGTTACTAGGAGGGGTGCGGCCCGAAGTGGGTGACACCCTTACTGCGGTGTGACACCCTTACTGGGGTGTGACACACTTACTGGGGTGTGACACCCTTACTGGGATGTGACACCCAATGGAAAATTGCAATTTCGACAGAGTTAGCTCGGGTCAGTTTCATAACAAATTAAAGTTAAATACAAGAGCAGGGGGCCACCAGACAGAGTGCCACCATACAGGGTGCCACCAGACAGGGTGCCACCAGACAGGGTGCCACCAGACAGGGTGCCACCAGACAGGGTGCCAACAGACAGGGTGCAAAAAGACAGGGTGCCAACAGACAGGGTGCCAACAAACAGGGTGCCAACAGACAGGGTGTCAACACACAGGGTGCCAACAGACGGCGTGCCAACAGACTGGGTGCCAACAGACAGGGTGCGAACAGACACGGTGCCAACAGACAGGGTGTCAACACACAGGGTGCCAACAGACAGGGTGTCAACACACAGGGTGTCAACAGACAGGGTGTCAACACACAAGGTGCCAACAGACAGGGTGCCAACAGACAGGGTGCCAAAAGACAGGGTGCCA